TAGGTTCAAGCAATTCTCCTGCCTCAGCCTCCCAAGTGCTGGGATTATAGGTGTGCACTACCACTTCTGGCTAATTTTTGTATTTTTAGTAGAGACAGAATTTCACTGTGTTGGCTGGTCTGGTCTCAAACTCCTGACCTTCAGTGATCCACCTGCCTCAGCCTCCCATAGTGCTGGGATTACAGGTGTGAGCCACCGCATCCAGCCCATTATTACTTATTTCTAAGACACCATCAAGTTTAAGATTCAAAACTGAGTTTGTAATGGATTTCCCTTTGTGTGCGTGTATATGTGTAAATATGTTTGGAACTCTACCACGTGAAATGTCCCCATCCATTAGAAGACACATAATGATTTCAGAAATGTTCACATGTGGATAAAATGTGTGTGTGCCTCTGGATTCACTTTTCTCCACTTCCTGCCTTCCTGGTCCTAATCACGTTCCCCTGCAGGAGAGCTCAGAACATCCTTCCCATTCAACAAGTTCATCCCGATGGCTCTTGAATGCCTCTGACAGTTCCTATCATATTTGGCCTTTCCTAGAGCAGAATTTGGCAGCAGACTGTCTGCCACATGGGGAGAGGGTGAGGGGTGCCAGGGTGATGCCTGATGTCATGGGTGTTCTTCTTCCCCCTTCCAGGCTCAGAGATGGATGGCTCCCTGGAGGTTGGGTAGGGCCATGTGACTAATTCTGGCCAAGGAACTGTGAGTAGAAGTGCATTGTCACTTCCAGGCTGGGGCATTTAAACATTCAGGAACATTCAGACCTCCAGGCCAAAGCTCTGTTTCACTTCTAGCCTGGTGGCCTGAATGTTCACAATGCTGACTGCTCTAGTTTTCTTTGATGACTGGTCAACCTGTGATGCACGTATAGCCTAAGTGAGAAGTGAACCTGGTTGTCATAAACCCCTGAGACTTTTGGTACTATTTGTTACTGCAGCATACTCTAGCTGAAACTGACTGACAGAGGTGGCCCCAAAGCAACACCTGTTTGTTACCGCAGCATACTCTAGTTAAAACTGACTGATAGAGGTGGCCCCAAAGAAAGACCATGATTCACACAATGTGTAAGTTTGCCCTTCCCAGGTCTCTGTCCAGTCTTCAAAGAGGATGTCTTAGGTTGGTGCTGAGGTATCTTTAACACCTTCCAACCCTTGTTAATCTCCCCCTTTACCTAAGACAAAACAGGCCTTGGGCTCCGAATCTTCAGCAGGCAATAAAATCTAGGCAGAATTTTGTGGCATTATTTGGTTTTCTCCTCTATTTATTGATGTAAGCAGCAAGGGGTAGCTCTGACTCCATTCCAGCCTCCCTGCTAAGCATCTGACGGATATCAGTGCATTTACTCTTAATCTTCATAGCAACTCTTTCATATGGGTGCTATCTTCATCCCCATTTCCTGCCAGGGGGACACCAGACCCAGAAAAGTGAAATCACCTGCTTCAGATTGCTCTTATGCTGCCTTCAATTTAAGGCAAAAAGAAGATGAATTTTCCAGCTGGGCATGGTGATTCATGCCTGTAATCCCAGCACTTTGGGGGGCCAAGGTGGGCGGATCATGAGGTCAGGAGTTCGAGACCAGCCTGGCCAATATGGTGAAACCCCGTCTGTACTAACAATACAAAAATTAGCTGGGTGTGGTGGTGCACCTCTGTAGTCCCAGCTACTTGGGAGGCTGAGGCAGAAGAATCACTTGAACCCAGGAGGCAGAGGTTGCATTGAGCCAAGATTGTGCCACTGCACTCCAGCCTGGATGACAGAGTGAGACTCCGTCTCAAAAAAAAAAAAAAAAAAGAAGAAAATGATGAATTTTCCAGTTGTGATGGTGCTATAAAATAAAGCTCATTGTTTTTAAAAAGCTAATCCTGGGTTGGGCATGGTGGCCCACGCCTGTAATCCTAAGCACTTTGGGAGGCCAAGGCAGGTGAATTGCTTGAGCCCAGGAGTTTGAGACCAGCCTGGGTAACATGGCAAAACCTGTCTCTACAAAAAATACAAAAATTAGCTGGGTGTAGCGGGGAGTGCCTTGTAGTCCCAGCTACTCGGGAGGTTGATGTGGGAGGATAGATTGAGCCCAGGACTTTGAGGCTGCAGTGAGCTGTGATCGTACCATTGCACTCCAGCCTGGGTGACAGAGGGAGACCCTGTCTCAAAAAATAAAAGTAAAAAAGCTAATCATTTGAAGGAAAAAAATTAAATAAATAGCAGTGTGAGGAGTATTTGAATAAAGTGAAAATTGTGACGGTAATACTCAAAAGCGCCAAGATGGTGAAACACTGCTTCAGGGTCCCTTGTGCTCTGTGTAACTTTCCCCACCAGAGAGTGAGTAAATTTGTTTGACTCGTCGCTGCTGTTCATCCTGACATTTATGAAAGGCTCTCCAAGTTTTCTGGGATGAATGAATGAAGGAATGATTATGAGGCAGTCCTAGGCTGCAGGAGGCTGCAAAAGGTGGATTATCTCACTAGTCTTTTCCACACACCTGCCCTTCCCCAAAGTTATCAGGAGCCCACTGGGTGAGCACCTGTCCCAGAATCTGGTGTTCCATGCAGGAGATCCTCCTCTGGTCCCTGCTGCCCCAGCAACCTGGGCCCCCAGGCGTGGCTGGGCTAAGGGTGGGGCCAGGAATGTGCACTACTCCTGGCCAGCTGCCAAGGAGATATCAGGAAGGAGGTGGTTGCTATGGTAACTGGGGCATCTCCTGAGGTGAAGAGAGGTGATAGGTCCTGGCATCCCAGGCTGGGTGGGGTCCCTTGTGAGGTCCTGTGTAAGATGCGGGTTTCAATCTTGACCCTCTCCCCTTCTTTTGCATCTCCTGCTGTTGCCCCTGCAGGACTGGCTTCTGGCCAAGCTGAGGGCTTCTGTCCATTTCAGGGACAGGGACCCGGACCCAGCTGTGCTCATGCATCCCTCTTCTGTTCACCCCTAATTCTCCCGCCCGTTCTCTGGCAGGGCGGAGGGAGACAATCTCCCCTCTTCCCCCCTCGCTCCCCAACAATTCATTAATTAGTTTCCTTAAGCAGTTTGCAATGCACAACATGCTTTTCCTCCCCCGGGATTTCCCAAGACCCGCGGTCCCCTCTCATGCTGTGACTGGGAAAGGGGGAGGCAGAGCAGGTGGGGTTGAGGAGTCTGTCCTCCCACTTCTGCCGTCTGCTGCCATCGATCCTGTTAACCACCACCTCTGCAAAAAGAAACCCTGGGCTCCCGCCAGGCCTGCTGCCTCAGCCCTGCCCCCTCTCCCTAGGGTGGCTTCCAGCCTCTGCAGCCCCCCCCACCCCCCGCCCTGCTTCGGATTCTGCAGATATGGCTCAGTGCAGCAGCCCCCGCCTTCTGGGAAGCACGGAAGGGAGGGAGTCACCCAAGTGGAATTGGGGTTCCCTTCACGGCCAGGGGCTTCTCAACACCCCTGGTCCATCCCCTGCCCTCAGTGCTGGAGACCCTAGCTGGGCACCCGCCCCCTCTTGAAGCAGTCTGTGCCTTGCTCCTCTGCAGAAGCAGGCTTAGCAATGGGGGCTATTAGGGGGCAACGGTGGAAGTGGGTGTTCAACTGGGTGCATAACTGGGTTAATGGGTGTGGAATGGAAATCAGTGTGCGGCTGGATGGGGGCAGTAGGGGCAGTTAGGTGCCTACCCAGGTACACCTCTGGGATTGGAAAACACCCCTGCTGTGGGCTGGGAAGGAGGGTCCCATCACCCCATTCCCACCCATGGGGGTTCACTGCAGTGGTTTGGGCCCCACCCCACACTGCTTCCTTCTCTTTCTATTCCCCTCTTTCCCCATGGGTCCGTCTCTCTCCCTCCGTCTCTCTGCTTCTCTCTCCATAGCAGTCTCATTCCCGCTATCTCCCAGGCTCTCATTTTCTCTCTCTCTCTCTGCATCTCTGTCTACCGTTCTCTGCCTCTCGCCTCCACTGGGAATCTCTCTGAGTCCATCTATTTGTCTTCCTGGGTCTTTGTATCTGTGACTCTGGATCTCCTGCCTCTCGGTCTCTGTCTCTTCCAGGTTCTCCCTGTCCATCTCTTGCTATATCCCTTCTCGCTGTCTCTTCCTTCAGCTCTCACTCCTTTCCTCTGAACCTGGCTGTCAAGGGTTTCAGGAAACACACACCCTAGGAGACAGCACTGGAAAGAAGACGGACATGAACCTCCTCCTCTTCCCTTGCCCACCCCAGGGACCCTGAAATCTTCCAGAACGTCTCTGGCCGCAGACCCACCCGCTCCCACCCTGCAAGCTCATCTCTTCCCGTCTGCTACCACCACGGTGCGGGACCAGCCACCCGGTTGCCATAGCGACCTGTCCGAGCATCCCTTCTCCCGGGACTGCCACTCTCCAACCGCAGGTCTGGCACAGGACACCCGCCGGGGAGGGGGTGTCCCAGAGACCCGGAGGGGCAATCGGGGGGCTGCATTACAGGGGCCTCCGCCCACAGAAGGAGCAGACCTCCCTCCCCCCACTCCCCTGCCTTACCATTGCTGGAATCTCCCGACACCCTCTCTCCTAGGTTCTCAGATCCCGGAGCCCCCCTGCAACCCCCTCCCCAGACTACGCTCACCCTTTGTGGGGGTCTGGGTCGGGGTCGCCATGCTGGGCCGGAGCAGGGGGCTGCTGGATGCTTTGGCGGCGAAGGCGCGCTGCAGCAGCTGGAAGCAGGACGGACCGATATGGGGGGGAGCTGGGGGGAGCCCTGGCGTGGGGGGGCCTGCAGCCAATGGGGGCCCGGGGAGCCCGCCCCCGTGCAGGCCACCCCCGCCCCCGCCCCCGCCCACCACCGTCGTCCCCGCCCCTTCCTCTAGGGTGGGGCGCCCCCTGCTGGGGCCCAGGGGCGCTGGGCTTTCGCGCTGAGGGACCGAGACCGACAAAGTGCTGTCGAGAGGAACGCACGTTTTATTGGAAGTCTGGGCGGCAGGGGGAGTCTGCGGGAGTAGGGCTGGGGAAGGGGCGACGGAGGGGACGGTGGGCGCGCAGGTGGAGCGTGGGAGACGTCAGGTGCCAGGGGAGTCCTGTGGGGTGAAAAGGGTGAGTGAAAGGCGAGAGGGGAAGTCCAGAACCACCCCTCGCCGCCCTCCAACCCTGGCACTTGGCCCCCTCCCTCTCCCGCCTTTCCTTCCTCCCTCCTTCCCTCCCATCGCCGTGTCAGAGCTGCAGCACCTGGCCAGATTCCATCGCGCCAGTTGTTTCTACCGCCTGCGGGTGGACAGACCTGGGGGGAACACGGAGATCGGGGGTCATCAGGAGGGGCATCCCCAGCTCCTGGGCAGGCGGGGCAACTCCCCGCCCTCCGCTTTCAGATCCAGTCCCTCCCTCTACGCAGCCGGGGAGGGCCAGGAAAAGGGGTCCTTGGAACCAGCCCTCTCCCCAAAATACCCGCAGTCTCCCCAGACTCACGGCGGATGGAGCTGCGGAAAGTTCCCTCCTCTTCATCGGGTTCCCCAGTCCTGGGAAGACAGAGGCAGAGGGATTTCGGGATGGAAAGGGGGACAGGCTGCCCTTCTAGGAACCCCCAGTACAAGCCTCCTTTCCCAGACTGGTGTAACGAGGCCCAGATATGGACGAAGAACAGGCTCGGGGTCCGCCAGAAATAAGAAGCACCCAGGAGCAGCTTAAGTGCTTGGCAGGGGGCTTCCAAGCCGGTTAACAGTGAGTACCTCCGCGGATTTGGGGACAGGGATGTGAAGTTGGTAGGAGAGGTATAGCCAAGGGGACTTGGCAGACTGTCATGATATGGCCTGGGTTGGAAACCCAGAACCCCCCATCTTCCACTTGAGTGATCTTGAACAAAGTGACTTTAACCTCCCTGTGCCTCAGTTTCCTCATCTGTAAAATGGGGTTAATAACAGCACCTCCCTCCCAGAGGAAGTGAAACCGTATCTGACACGTGGTACACACCCAATAAATATTAGCTACTGCTTATGATAATATCTATAATTGTTCTAACATATTCACACATTGTCCATGCTTTAACATTTTATTTGAAGAGGAATCAAAGAGCTAGGAACAGGACTCTAAGCTAAACTGGGCCGTGTGTGAGATGATCTCATTTCACTGCCGTTCCTTCTTTCCTGCACTTTGTGTTATCACGCTTTGCGATTTTTCTATCTGTGGGGCTGTTGGAACCCACGGCCACCGCCTCCACTAGGCTGGGAGCTCGGCCAGGAAGGGCGGGAGGTTTTTTCCTCGCTTGGTCCCAGGGCCTGGCTTGGGCCATGGTACATAGTAGGTGCTTAATACGTAGTCGCTGATGGGGATCGGGCTGCGGGTCAGGCGGACTCCCCGCCTCACCTGCGGCGCCCTCCAGAGCAGGAGCGGGCGAAGGAGGGCGGGGAGGGGCGTCTTACCTCTGCTGCTGGTTGAACTTGCACCGGCATCTTCTGCCTGTGGGCGTGGAGAAGTAGCAGAGGTTGAGGCTCCCTCCCGGCGGACGCCAAGCGGCGCTGTAGCTCCAGCTCGCCCTCGCGAGGGGCGGGACTTGGGGGACGGGGCGGGGCTAGAGGCGAGACCGGAGGCCGGGGAGCCAAGGCAGGGTAGGCGGGGCAAGGCCTGGGAGGGGTTGGGGCGGGGCGAGGCGGGGCCAGGGAGAGGCGGGGTAGAGGGCGGGGGCTAGGGGCACTCACTGAGCACAATGAGGATACCCAGGATGAAGAGTATCCCGGCGATGATGAGGCCTCCGATCCGCAGGGACTGGTAGTCTGTGAGCAGCAGAGCAGGGAAGGTGAGGGCAGGGAGGAGAGGAGGGAGAATAGGAGAGGGGGAAATTGGGGAGGAGGGAACAGGGAGAAAGGACCAGCAGAGAGAAGTGGGAAATAAGATCAATTAAGGGGGAGCAGATATGGGAGGAGGAAAGGGGGGGACCAGGGAGAGGAGAGAGGTGTATAGGAAAGGGAGGGAGGGGGCAGGGAGGAGGGGGACGGAGGAGAGAAGATGGGAAAAAACAGAGGATGGGCCACGAGATGCTGAGAGAGACCCAGGCAAGAGAAAGAGAACCAGAGAGGTATCACATAGACAGTGACACAGAGAGACACAGACAGGGAAAGACGCAGACAGGTGGAATCAGAAAGGAAGGACAAAATAGAGGGAAGGAGAATGACAGAGATTTCATACTGGGATTCTGGGGGAGAGTGAATCAAAGGACAAGCAAAGCCAGGATCTCCCCCAAAACTCTCAGAATTAGACCCCCCACTCACCGTAAGTGAACGGGTCTTGCTCCTTTGGACTTTCTGGAAAGAGAGAAATCAGGGGTTGAATGCTTCCTGGGGTCCTGGACAGGGAGGGGCATAAGGAGACCGCTGGGGGCTCTACCTTGCTGGGCTGAGAGTCTGAGGGTGTCTAGGCAGGCTGCCCACCCTCTCTGGGTCCCAGCTGCCCCCTCTGCACTGTCCCAGATGGGGCGGGGGGCACCTAACTGCCCCAGCTCCCTGACTCATGGTAGGCTGCCTGTGACCCAGTTATCCCACCAGGGATTCAGCCCTATCCCACCCCACCTTTGCCTGATCCGGGGCTTCCTCTCCCTTCCCCCAAATGCCAGCCTGTGACTGGACCCCACGTGGAGACCCCCAAACTTCTTGGTACCCCAGCTGACTCAGTCTAGGTTGCGGTCTCCAACTTGGTTCTTTCTTGGGGTTTCAGTCCCCGCCGCCACCCCTGGGGCTGAGGTGGGTAGCGGGCAGCCTCCCCTGCACTCACCTGCCTTGGCCATGGTGATGAGACTCACACAGAAAACCAAGATGTGGCCAAGAGACGCCATTGTCCTGGGGGGGACACAACAGGTTAGGCAGTGTGTGCCCTTGCTCTCCCACATAGGGCTTGAACCCAAGGGATTAAGTCAGAGTCTGGGGACTGAAACACCGAAGCATTCATCCTCTAGCTTGGTGGCTCCGAGAAACAGGGGTATCCCCAGCTTCGTGGGGACACAGTGTCACCAAAACAACCTCCACGATGGGTTCACACAACAACACAATGTAGCAGGGACAGGGGTGAGACACACAGTCCCTGGGGGCCTCCCTCGGGCCTCCACCTCCCACAGCAGGCCCCCGATTCCCAGACCTACCCTGGCAGGGCAGAGGAGGCGCTACCTCACACAAACACGGAGCAGGAGACAGCGGGGCACGCCCAAGTCCCACCTGCCTACACACCCGGCCTCACTGTGCCCCGCGAAATCCCAGCTCCCTGCCCTCTCCGCCTGCCGGCTCCCAGCCTGACCCCGGGTATAAATATCTCCCACTTCACCCTGGAGGAATTCGGCTCGCTCAGGCCACCATGGCAACAGCCTGCCTTCCCCCACTCAGGGGGTCACGCACAGCCCTGCCCGGGTGAGGCCCAGCTGCCACATTGCCACAGGCTGCCCCTGTGGGAAAGGCCACCCTGTCTCCTCCCTGGGCAGCAACGAGGAAAGGAAAAGACAGCCCTTCTGCCTGCCTCTGGGTGACATCTTTCACAATCGGATGTCAGGCAAGTGACATGAGGCCCAGGCCAGTGGGCCTGAGAGAGAGAAGACACTGCTGGGGCAGGGATGCGCGCGCACGCACGCACACACACGCGCACACACACACACATACACACACTGGGGCCGGAATGGACATGAACAACAACCTCTTCCCAAACTTCTGGTTGGAGCAGGACGTGGGGTGTAAACACCGTCAGGCATCCAGTACTCCTCCTCTGGGCCTCCGGTGCCCCCACACAGTGACGCAACCAGCCCTACACATGTGTGTGTCCGAATTCCACACCCTGCCAGGGTGCACACGCACCAGCAGGGCAGGGAGGAGTCGCCCACATCCCACCCTGCAGAACCCACTGCCCCAGCCACACTCCCTCCCTCTTAGGTTGGCCTGCCTGGGAAGCCTCGGGCTGGCCACTCCTGCTCCCAAAATAGGCGGCCCAGCCAGACCAGGGGTGAGGCCTGGAGGGAAGGAGTGGGGGACGCTCACCCCAATCGGGCTGTCCCCTGCTGAAAGAAGGCCCCCAAACGTCCTGCTGTGCCCCGGGGGCTGAGCACTTTGGACCCCCTGGCCCAGAGCTGGACGCGCCGCCCCCAACAGGCTCCCCTCCCAGCCCCACCCCACCCTTGCCCTCCCCAACCAGCAGCTGTAACTGGAGCTGGGGCTGGAGGGGGGCCAGGGGGCGGCCCCCAGCCCAGACCGCCCTGGCCCGCTAGGTTAACTCTCTCAGTTCAGATGGAGGAGCAGCAGGCAGCCAGCAGGCAGGCTGGGGAGGCCAGGAGGACTGTGGAGGACAGGGTTGTGAACACACACACACACACACACACACACACGCCTCCAAGAGCTTCTAGGCTGAGGCGGCTGCCCCCTGGGAATTGGGCCCAGCCAGGGACTAAGGTCACCCAGCCTGACTGCCCAAGAGCCCACTGACCCCTGATCCCATTGCTCCATGGGGTCCTTAACAGGGCCGTTTTAGGGGACAGGAGGGAGGGGTGTGTGTGTGTGTGTGTGCGCACGCACGTGCATGCAGTATCTGTTGCAGTGAGATCCCCAGAAATGCTACACATACATACACACACACGCGCGCGCACACACAAACACACACAGGGAATCCCAAAGACCCAGATATACAGGTACAAAACCAGACAAAACCACGTATGTATGTACATCCATAGAGGCAGACACACAGAATGACACACTGATAGAGAAACCCAAAGACCTGGACACACAACCGGCACCTCTTATGCCAGTCACAAAATACCAAAACAAGCACATTTATGTCTACACAGACCCATGCACACTTGTGTAGATGGATGACCCCACAGAGACACAGTCAAAAACATAGCCACACCACCATCCACACTCACAAACTGGCCACAAAAATGCATGTTTCTGTGAAGACCGACCCACAAATGGCCATACAGAAACATACAAGTATATGCATACCACACATAAATGCATTCAAAGATGCATGGCCAAACATGGCCGGGTACGGTGGCTCACACCTGTACTCCCAGCACCTTGGGAGGCCAAGGTGGGAGGATCACTTGAGGCCAGGCGTTCAACACCAGCCTGGCCAACCTGGTGAAACCTCATCTCTACTAAAAAAATTAAAATTAGCCGGGCATGGTGGCACATGCCTGTAATCATGGCTACTCTGGAGGCTGAGGCAGGAGAGTCACTTGAACCCGGAAGGCGGAGGTTGCAGTGAGCTGAGATCACTCTAGCCTGGGTGACAGCGCGAGACTCTGTCTCAAAAACAAAAACAAAACGAAACAAAACCAAAGGTACAGACATGCTGCCAGCACTCCTACACAGTCCCAAAGATAGGAAGGCCAACAAGCTTGTGTACACACAGACAGATTTCCATGGGCACAGATACACAAGCAGAAACACCATTGAGGACAACCCGCCACTCTCACACATACCCACAAAAGCAGAAACACACACACTGGTTCACACCCTATGCTTGGGCAAACAGGCACATGGCTGGCCATGGTGACAGATGCGCAGGTTGACACACTTGCATGTTCACACATTCCAAAACCACAGATCTGTATTCAACCCCACACTTTCCTTCCCCTGAGCTCTTGTCGGGAACAACACACCTGGCATCCCCATGGGCAGGCCAGGTTTACAGGTCCTGGTGATGGGGAAACCTGGAATCAGACCTGGGTACTGCACTCCTGGTTGTGTGAACTTGAGCAGCTCTGTGCCTCATTTTCACATGCTCCGAAATGGAAAAATCGCTAAGATCACATGTATAATCCTGGACAGTGCTCAGAGGTCTCTGAACTTGACATTGTCTTATCATTAACTTCATTTTTTGTTTATTTGTTTGAGACCTGGTCTTGCTCTGTCAACCAGGCTGAAGTGCAATGGCACGATCATAGCTCACTGTAGCCTCAAACTCATGGGCTCAAGTTATTCTCCCACCTCAGCTTCCTGAGTAGCTGGGACTACAGGCGTGCGACACCATGCCTGGCTAATTTTTTTATTTTTTGTACAGTCGGGGTTTCACTCTGTTGCCCACTATGTTGTCTTGAACTCCTGGCCTCAAGCGATCCTCCCACTTCAGCCTGCCAAAGTATAGGATTATAGACATGAGCCACTGTGCTTGGCCCGTTATTATTGTCCTTGTCATCCTCCTCCTTGTGAACTGAACTGCTGGGCTGGGCACTCTATGAGAGTGGGTTCCAATACCTCTGTGTCCCTGGCACTCAACTCTCCAACTTCACTTTCAGGGACTTTGTTTATCATACCTGAGAGTCAGCAGAGGAAACCAACAGCTGAAGGGCATGGCTCAAACCACAAGCTGCTGGGGTCTGCTCCTCTAGGACCTGGATCCGGAGCCCACCCCCAAGCCTGCTGACCACTGAGGGATGCCCACCTTGTGCTGAACCCCAAAAGGATGAGTCACCTGAGTCCTCTCCACAACTGGGAAGTGGGTGCCACGATTGTCCCCATTTTACAGATGGGAAAACTGAGGCCACACAGGACTGGGCCTGCAACCCAGATCTGCATGACCTCCAAGCTGTTAAGCCCCCTTAGCCTCCAACGAGGCTTCTGGGTGTGGGCGTCAGAGTCGAGAGAGCCTGCATGCATTCCGCAATTACAGGGTGAGTCTCGGCCTCAGGTGATGAGGTGGTACAGCCTAGGGGTTAGGTTTAGAGCTGAACAGAGCCAGGAAACTAATCACATAACTGCCCTGTGCCTTAGTTTCCCCATCTGTAAAGCAAGGATAGCAGTACTGCCCATCTCACAGGGTGGCTGTGAAGGCTGAGTGAGTATAAACATTACTACTATTTCATGTTAGCTAACAAGTGTCACTTACTTATTTTTCTTATTTAGTGGACAGAATCTATCCAAATGACTGAAAGCTTAGTCCAGATTAAAACAACCAATTATCCATCTATCCATGAACTCTCATCTCCAAAGAAAGAATGTAAAATAACCTGGAGCAGCCCTGGGGCTGGATGCCTGGGTTTGAATCCTGGCTGTGCCCTCAGCTGGGTAACGTGGAGTTCAGGTTCCCTGACCTGTCTCCACTTCCTCCAGCTGTAAAGTGGTGGTGATAACAGCACCAACTTCAGAGGGCTTTGGCAAGATCAGAATGAGTTAATAGATGAGCTTTTAGGACAAGGCCAGGCTCAGAGTAGACGCTGAAGAAGGGGTGGCGTCATCATCGTCATCATCATCACCTTCTTCACCATCATCATCATCGTCATCGTCATCATCTTCTTCACCATCATCATCATTATGTCCTTGAGTTGGTGCCACCCCCCAGTGGGTGTTGGGCACTCGAGGGTTAATTTCAGAGTGGGGGAGGGAGGCTGTGGGCTTGGGGCAGGGCAGAGGTCCTGCCGAGTGTGACCACCAGAGGGAGCAGCTGGACCTGAACTGGCCCCACTGACAGCGCCCAATGCACCCTCCTGGAGCCAGGGGAGGGGGCTGGCGGAGAGTGGCCAGGAAGGGATGTCCCCAGCCCCCAGGGGCCTCTCCTCCCACCCTGCTCCAGTCTGCAGAGCCATCCGGTCCCCACCCTGGTGACATCGTCCTCCTGCTCCCTCAATAGGGTTGAGTGGGGAATCTGGGGAGGGGGCTGGTGTGAGTGGTGGGACGGCTCCAGCCCTTGGTGGCCCCTCCCCCTCCTGTGGGGCTGCCCAGTCCCTTCCCCAAGGCCGACCTTCTCATGGCCTCTGACCCCCTCCTCCTTCCCACTCTACTCTGCCGGGTGCATCGGGTGTCCAGTGAACCCCTTTCCCAAACCTTCAGGGAGAAGGGACGTGGGAGGAGGCAAAGAAACTACAGGCAGGGAGCTGGAAGGGGGGGAAGGAGACAAGAAATCAAGACACCAGGCAGCGGGACGCACACACTCACATACGCTCACACACATAGAGGCCAACAGACAGACAGCTACCTAAAGCCTGAAAGACTGACAGCAACACAGAAAAAGAGAAACACACAGAAAGAGAGACAAAGACAGAAATAGAAACAGACTAACACGCAGAGTCAGAAATACAGAGACAGAAAGACAGGGAGAAAGAGAAACAGAAAATTAGACACCAAAGAGATACGAACAGGGAGGAAGGCCGACTGAAGGAAAGACGGAGAAGAGGAGAGAGAAGCCAGGGCCAAGCGTGCCAGCAGGCGGATGGAGGGCGGCCTGGTGGAGGAGGAGACATAGTGGCCCAGGCTGAGCTGGGTGGGCCGGGAGAAGCGGGTGCCTCAGCGCGGGGCTGGGGGCATGGGAGGGGCAGGCGTTCTGCTGCTGCTGCTGGCCGGGGCGGGGGTGGTGGTGGCCTGGAGGCCCCCAAAGGGAAAGTGTCCCTTGCGCTGTTCCTGCTCCAAAGACAGCGCCCTGTGTGAGGGATCCCCGGACCTGCCTGTCAGCTTCTCTCCAAACCTGCTGTCACTGTGAGTGTCCAGCCCTCTGCACACCCAAAGGTGGGGATGGAAGTCCTGGGACCCCAGAGGTCAGGATGTGGTGCTGAGTCCCCAGGGAAACAGGGGCCCATCAGGATCTCAGGAGATGGGCAGCAAAGGCTGTCGGGATGCCATGAAGAGGAGTGCTGGCGTCTGGGAGGGAGCAGAGGGAAACCCCAGAGGGCAGGAACAGCATTTGGGGCCCAGGAAGAGGGTTGAGTGCTGTCAGGGTCCTTGTCAAGCCAGGAGGGCAAATGCCTGCCTCCTCTGGCATGCAGGGGAGACACACCCAGGGTCAGGGTGGCACGCTGGGGTCTCCTGGATGGCAGAAGGCTCTGGTTTGGGACTGGAGCATTGCTGTGGTGTCCCCCTCACCTACCACTGCCCACATCCCCAGCTCATTCGTCAGGACTGGAGTCACCCAGCTGAAAGCCGGCAGCTTCCTGAGAATTCCGTCTCTGCACCTGCTGTGAGTAGGGCCTGGCTGGGCCAACAACCCGCGCAAGGGAGTGGGCGGTCATGCACATGTGTGGGAATGAATGCTCACACAGATGTTAGGTGGGTGTTCATGCACGTGTGTGGGGGTGTGTGCACATGTGCATGCAAAAGCATTTGTGTCCATGCACATACTTACAACTGCGTGCCCATGCCTGTGTGGGCTGAGGGTGGAGGCCAGGGTTAAAATGTCAGATGGAGCCCGCAACTCCGGGAAAATTTTTTTCTTGCCCCCTTGCCAGCCTCTTCACCTCCAACTCTTTCTCCGTGATTGAGGACGATGCGTTTGCGGGCCTGTCCCACCTGCAGTACCTGTGAGTGAGGCCAGGGGATGGAGGCAGGTGGGCCTGGGAGAAGGAAGGATCCTTCTGTGGCTCCCAGAGTAGGGGGAGATGGGAGCTGTGGCCCTGAGGAGAAGGTGTTTGGACATCATGGTGGGATGATGTTGATAAAAATGGTGAACCCAGTGGTGGTGATGATTTGGGTGATACTGACAAAGTTCTCAGGGCTGGTGTTAATGTTGCTTATCAGTGTTGATTATCACCTCATTTCTCTACTTCAAGATCTACAAAGAGCCCAGTTAACCAGAGCCTGGTTCTGGCTCTACCTGACTCATGGGAGCCCAGGGAGGGTGTAAAGAAGTCAGAGACAAGAGACGTTTCAAATGACCAGGAAATAACTCTGAATTAGGTAGTGGTGGTGATACTGTGGGATTGGGTAGTGGTGGTGATGGTGGCGGTGGTGGCAGTGACAGCATGACAGTGCTGGCGTTTATGTTGGTCATGGCGTTGATGATAATGGCAGTGGTGATGACCCTGTTGCTGCTGTTGATGTGGGGTTGGTGGCATTATTGATGAAGATGGAGTGGGGATGATGTTGGTAAAAATGGTAGCCCCAGTGGTGATGATGCTCTGGATGAAATTGATGATGAAGTTCTTGGGGCTTGTGTCTGTGATCATTATCAATGTTGTGGGGTGGACCACTACAGTATTGGTGTTGACGTTGGTGATGGCTGTGGGTAGGATGTTGGGGTGGGTATGAATGGCAATGTTGTTGGTACTGGGTTGGTGACGATGGTGAAGGTGTTGGTATTTATGGAAACGCTGGCAGCGGTAGTACCGGTGGTGGGCGAATGTGTGCGTCTTAGGTATAAGGGAGAGGTTGTTGGTGTTGGCAGTGTTGGTGGTGCTCATGCTGATGTGTGTGATAGTGCAGCATTGGAGATGAGGGTGGCAATCTTTTTGGTGTTGATCATGAAGGTTGTGCTGTTGGTGATGATTACCGGTGTTGTTGGTGTGGAGTTTGGTAATGATTATATGCGTGTTGGTGTTGATGGGAGTGGGTGGTGACGTTGTTATTGGTGACAATGATGCTAGTGTTGGTGATGATAGTGGCAAGGTATAATGTTGGGGATAACAGCAGTTACTGGTCCTGGGTTTGATAATGGTAATACAGACATGGGTGCTGGGGATGCTGGCATTGGGTTGGTCATTACGGATGATGCTGGAGGTAATGTGGTGGTCTGGGTGCTAGCTGGTGGTGGTGATGGTGGTGGCAGGGTATGGTGTTGGGGATAGTGGCAGTTATTGGTCCTGGGATTGATGACGGTGATAAAGACATGGGTGTTGGGGATGCTGGCATTGGTGTTGATCATTCCTAATGATGCTGGAGGTATTGGTGGTGATTTGGGTGTTAGCACTGGTGATGGTGATCGTGCTGGTGGCGGCAGGGCAATGTTCACAGTGAAACTGGCATTGACTATGGGGCCAGTTTCATGGCTCCTAGAATGGACGGCTGGGACTTTGGCAAGGAGAGGTTTTTGAGAGGCTTTCCTTGGGATTGTCCATGGTATTGGAAGAGAATTCAGCACCTTCCAGTGGGCCTATGGCTTTCATGGGGTGCGTTCCCTGAAGCTCAGTGGGCCTCCCCGTGACCCCAGCTTCCCTCCACAGCTTCATCGAGGACAATGAGATTGGCTCCATCTCTAAGAATGCCCTCAGAGGACTTCGCTCGCTTACACACCTGTGCGTGCCTCCACTGCCCCAGCCCTCCATGAAAGGCACCCACACTCCACCCCCCAGGGGACACAGGGTATCCTCATGGCTGCTGACAGTGCCTTCTCTTCCTCCACCAGAAGCCTGGCCAATAACCATCTGGAGGCCCTCCCCAGATTCCTGTTCCGAGGCCTGGAGACCCTTACTCACGTGTGAGGCTCATGGGGGCTGGGAGTGTGGGGGTTGGGGAATGTTTGTGTCATAGGGGGCATCCATGCCCACTTCTGGTTGGCGTGCATGCATTTGGCTGCAGTTGTTCTTACGTATTTTTCTCACCACTATGGAGCCCCATCTCTGGGGACACTTGCCTGGGGTCGGGCAGGAGCATGGCCCCCAGGGTGTGGAAGCGGGGTCGCAGCCCCTCCCCGGCCTCTTGCCCCAGGGACCTCCGTGGGAACCCGTTCCAGTGTGACTGCCGCGTCCTCTGGCTCCTGCAGTGGATGCCCACCGTGAACGCCAGCGTGGGGACCGGCGCCTGTGCGGGCCCCGCCGCCCTGAGCCATATGCAGCTCCGCCACCTCGACCCCGAGACCTTCAAGTGCAGAGCCATAGGTGGGGGGCTTTCCTGATGGGGTGGGAGGCGGGGGATCTAGGGGAATGGCCGCCAGGGCCAAGGGGCTTGCCTCACTCCCTGCCGTGCCTTTTCCCAGCGTGGGAAGACCCTGAGCAAGCAGCGCTGCCTTCCTGAGCCCCAGTTTTCCCATCTGTAAAGTGGGGGTAATAAACAGTAATATAGGAGTGCCGTGGGAATTCAGTGATACATCTTCACATGTTCGGCATTTGGCGCCAGGCCTGGGACAGGAGGTCCTTATAAACATTCACCCTTGTTAACATAAAAGCAACCACTTTAAAAAGTCTTCGTTAGGTGCCAAGTATTGCTCTAAGAGCTGCAGGTGCAATGTCACCTCATTTACATTGACTCGCCTTTTCTATAAATAGATTTTGTTGCCTTTTGGGATACTGGGTGGTGGCCTCACCTCACAGAATGGTGAGGCCAGCCCTGGGTCTCGCCCTCAAAGAGTTCAATGTCCAGAGGAACGCAGGCCCATACAGGACAGCCCAGGAACTATCTGGGCAGGATGGGGAGGCCTAGCCAGAGGGGTCACGGCAGGGATGGGGGAAACTGTGGCAGCTGAGGGAGCCCAGAGTCAGGGCCAGGGCCACACAGATCTAAGGGGGACAGGAAGGGCTTCTTGAAGGAGTTTAAGCCTGAAGGGTCTTTACACAGATGCTTTTCTTTTCTAAGAGTTGGGGTCTCATTCTCTCACCCAGGCTGGCGTGCAATGGTGCCATCATAGCTCACTGCAGCCTCAAACTCCTGGGCTCAAGTGATCCTCCTGCCTCAGCCTGCCAAATAGCTGGGACTACAAGCATATGCTACTGTGCCTGGCTAATTTTGTTTAAAAAACTTTTTTGTAGAGATAGGGTCATGCCACGTTGCTCAGGCTAGTCTTGAACTTCTGGCTTCAAGTGATCTTCCCACTTCAGCCTCCCAAAGTGCTGGGATTACAAGCATGTGCCACCGCACCCAGCCACAGATGCTATGAATACAATAACAACAGCAATAATTATTATTATCTATAACAATATGAAGGGGGCCTGCCCCTCCACACCTGTGGGTATTTCTCACAAGGTGGAGACCAGAGACTGAGAAAAGAAATAAGACAGAGATGAAGTATAGAGGAAGAACAGTGGGCCCAGGGGACTGGCGCTCAGCAAGTAAGGACCTGCACTGGCACTGATCCCTGAGTTCCCTCTGTATTTATTGATCACTATCTCTACTCTCTCAGTGAGGCAGATGTGGCAGGACTAAGGGTAATGGTGCAGAGAGGGTCAGCAGGAAAACATGTGAGCAAAGGACTCTGTCATAAATAAGTTTAAGGAAAGGTGCTGTGCTTGGATGTGCACGTAGGCCAGATTTATGTTTAACTTTACACAAACATCTCAGTGCAGTAAAGAGTAAGAGCAGTGTTGCCGCCAGCATGTCTCACCTCCAGCCATAAGGCGGTTTCTCCTATCTCAGTAAATAGAATGTACGATCGGGTTTTACACCGGGACATTCCATTCCCAGGGACGAGCAGGAGACAGATGCCTTCCTTTTATCTCAGCTGCAAAGAGGCCTTCCTCTTTCACTGATCCTCCTCAGCACAGACCCTTTACAGGTGTCGGGCTGGGGGACGGTCAGGTCTTTCCCTTCCCATGAGGCCATATCTTAGGCTGTCTCAGTGCGGGGAAGCCTTGGACAATACCCAGGCTTTCTTGGGCAGAGGTCCCTGTGGCCTTCTGCAGTGCATTGTGTCCCTGGGTAATGGAGAACGGAGAATGGTGATGACTTCTACCAAACATACTGCCTGCAAACACATTTTTAACAAAGCACATCTTGCATAGCCCTAAATTCATTAAACCTTGAGTCAATATAGCACATGTTTCTGTGAGCACAGGGTTGGGGCTAAGTTTACAGATTAACAGCATCTCAAAGCAGAAGAATTTTTCTTAGTACAAATCAAAATGGAGTTTCTTATGTCTTCCTTTTTCTACACAGACACAGTAACAGTCTGATCTCTCTTCCTTTCCCCCACAACGACATACATGTATGATTATTATCAACGTATCATTATTATGATTCTAAGTGTAAGAAAGGCATGTTTTTGGTCTGTAGGACACATAGAAGAAGGGGATTTAACTTAGGGAGTCCTTCTTCACTCAAATTATCCAACAAACATTCACTGAAGTCCACTCAGTGTCCAGCCCTGTGAGAGGTGATGGTCACTGTGGTTGGGCCCTCAGCCCTGGCCTCATGGAACTTACAGTCCTGGGAATTTGGGGAGACAGACATTTAACAAACACTACACAAATAAATGTCTGCTATACATTGTGATAACTACAGGGAGTGATGACAGAATGAGGGTTCCTTTGGGAGTCAGAGAAGGCTTCTCTCAAGTGGGGATGTTAGGTCTGGATGTGGCTAAGTGAGGAACAGAGGGAAGGGCTCTTCAGAGAGAGGGAACAGCCTGGCCAGTGGCCCTGAGGCAGCATAGAGTGTGCCCTGTTTGAAGATCAAAAGAAGGCAGGTGTGGCTCGGGGTAGTGAGTGGAGGGACAACTATGGATTTTGGAAGCCACAGAGAGGAGAGTAGACTTTATTCTGGGCTATGGGAAGAATGGGAAGTTTTTTTGTGTTTGTTTATTTGAAACAGGGTCTCACTCTGTCACCCAGGATGGAGTGCAGTGGTACAATCACGGCTCACTGAGGCCTCAACCTTCCCAGGCTCAGATAATCCTCCTGCCTCAGCTTCCTTGGTAGCTGGGGCTACAGGTGCACCACCACCATGCCCTGCTAATTTTTTGTATTTTTTTTGCAGAGATGGGGTTTTCACCATGTTGTCCAGGCTGCTCTTGAACTCCTGGGCTCTACTGATCATCTGCCTTGGCTTCCCAAAGTGTGGGGATTACAGGCGTGAGCCACCACTCTCGGCTGAGAGTTTTGAGCAAGAGGTGATTTGACGGCCATTTAAAAAAGATTTGTCTGGGCCGGGTGCAGTGGCTCATGCCTGTAATCCCAGCACTTTGGGAGGCCGAGGTGGGTAGATCACGAGGTTAGGGGTTTGAGACCAGCCTGACCAACATGGTGAAACCCCGTCTCTACTAAAAATACAAAAACTAGCCGGGTGTGGTGGCAGTCACCTGTAATCCCAGCTACTCAGGAGGCTGAGGCAGGAGAATTGCTTGAACCTGGGAGGCGGAGGTTGCAGTGAGCTGAGATCGCACCACTGCACTCCAGCCTGGGTGACAGAGCGAGACTTCATCTCAAAAAAAAAAAAAAAATTCGCCCTTTAGGTGGGCATTGTATGTAGTTTGGTTCATTGCTTCAATGCTGGCACCTGGAAACAGGGCCTGGCACACAAAGTGAAATATTACAGCCTGGAGTCAACTGCCCAGCTCCCCCACTAACAAGCAGAGCAGCCTTGGTGCCCCAGTGACCATGAAAGCCAACCCGTTGTCACAAACTCTCAAAATACCATGAATTAAGGACAGAGGGATCTGGAGTGAGCTGTCCAGGTGCGTGGGGCAGCCCCTGGGCATCATCCTTGCTTTCATGCTGGAAACCAGGTTGTGGCACACCCACGTGGTGGGAAAGGAGACCAAGTCGGGACAAGCTCTTTCCAGGTGTGGTGGTTCATTACACTCATCACATCTGCCCTTGTTCCATTGGTCACTGGGTCTCAAAACAGCCACATCTAACTTTCAGGGAGGGCGGTGGATGGGGGTCCCGGGATAATGCAGCCTCTAGCTGGGCGGCCTAGTAACCAATTCCAATCCTCTCTCCTGGAAGGTGGGAGGGATGGGTTTTGTTGGATAACTGGCTGCCTGTGCCATTTAGCCTTCGTTCTCATCTGCGAAGGGGAGATCATAACATAATGTACCTCATAGGGATGTTGTGAAGTTAAATGAATTAATCAAGATGCTTTTTCTAAGGGATTATTTGGTGATGCCACACAGCTTAGAAAATAAGGCTTATGGGTCGGGCACAGTGGCTCACGCCTGTAATCCCAGCACTTTGGGAGGCCGAGGTGGGTGGATCACAAGGTCAGGAGTTCGAAGTTCGAGACAACCCTGGCCAACATGGTGAAACCCTGTCTCTACTAACAATACAAAAATTAACTGGGCATGGTGGTGGGTGCCTGCAATTCCAGCTATTCGGGAGGCTGAGGAAGTAGAATTGTTTGAACCCAGGAGGTGGATGTGGCTCATGCCTATAATCCCATCAGTTTGGGAGGTCAAGGCAGGAGGATCTCTTGGACCCAGGAATTCCAGACTAGCCTGGGCAACATAGTAAGACGCCATCTCTGCAAAAAATTAAAAAATTAGCCAGGCATGGTAGCACACACCTGTAGTCTCAGCAGCTCAAGAGGCTGAGGCAGGAGGATCGCTTGAGCCTGGAAGGTGGAGGCTGCACTGAGCTATGATTGTGCCACTGCACTCCAGCCTGGGAGACACAGTGGGACTCTGTCTCAAAACAAAACAAAATCCCTACCCCCCCACAAACCAAACAAACATCTACAGATCAAGATTCCAGTTCTATGTCCCTATGAGGGGAGTACATGAACGGCCCCCATTTCAGAGATGTAGGCAAACTGAGGCTTAGCAATGAGGACCCTGGGTGTCCTGGGGACTGCCTGACTCTGTCCTCCATCCGCAGAGCTGTCCTGGTTCCAGACGGTGGGGGAGTCGGCCCTGAGTGTAGAGCCCTTCTCCTACCAAGACGAGCCTCACATTGTGCTGGCACAGCCCTTCGCCGGCCGCTGCCTGATCCTCTCCTGGGACTACAGCCTGCAGCGCTTTCGGCCCGAGGAAGAGCTGCCCGGTGAGCCCCTCCCCGTCCTTCTGCCTGTCCAGCAGCCTGCCTGGCCGGCCTGACCTGCCTCCCCACCTCCCCACAGCGCCCTCCGTGGTGTCCTGCAAGCCACTGGTGCTGGGCCCGAGCCTCTTCGTGCTGGCTGCCCGCCTGTGGGGGGGCTCACAAATGTGGGCCCGGCCCAGTCCCGGTCTGCGCCTGGCCCCAACGCAGACCCTGGCCCCGCGGCGGCTGCTGCGGCCCAATGACGCCGAGCTCCTGTGGCTGGAAGGGCAGCCCTGCTTCGTGGTGGCCGATGCCTCCAAGGCAGGCAGCACCACGCTGCTGTGCCGCGACGGGCCCGGCTTTTACCCGCACCAGAGTCTGCACGCCTGGCACAGGGACACGGACGCTGAGGCCCTGGAACTGGACGGCCGGCCCCATCTGCTGCTGGCCTCGGCTTCCCAGCGGCCCGTGCTCTTCCACTGGACCGGTGGCCGCTTCGAGAGACGCACAGACATCCCTGAGGCCGAGGATGTCTATGCCACACGCCACTTTCAGGCTGGTGGGGACGTGTTCCTGTGCCTCACACGCTACATTGGGGACTCCATGGTGAGGCTGGGCCTAGGGGCGGGAGAGGGCTACAGCTGACTCTTATTGAGGGCTGGCTTTTCAGCACCGACCCAATCTTGCATACTAAGCCTCTAAACTCTGACCTAGCCTCACATGCTGACCTTTGAACCAGGACCCCACCCCACATTGATGCCAAGACTCTGACTCCCTCAAGGCTGACTGACCCTAAACCACTCCCCAGTCCCCAACACTGACGCTGGCCCCAACATCCTGATTCTATCCCCAGATGCTGGCTCTGTGACTCGGATGCATTCCACACTTCACCACAGCCACACCTGTCCCCACCCTGACACTGAGGCCCCAAGGCTGACGCTGGGGTTAAGCCCTGCCCACCCTGTTTCTGGAGTGAGGTGCAGGCAGGGGAGGGTTCTGAGCCTGGAAGGGCCCTGATCTGACTTAGGTGTTCACAAGGTCTCTGGGTGGGGAAGAGACTGGGGGAGCAGGGAGAGGAGCCTAGAGACCAGGGAAGAGGTTACCAGGATGGTCCAGTTGGGAGGGGATGGAGTTCGGCCAGAGGTGGTGGGAGAAATGTACAACTACAGTAGGTGAAACTGACAGAGTCCATGGCTGAGTGCTTCTGTGTGGGGTGTGAGGGCAAGAGAAGGGCTCAGAACAACTCCGTGTGTGTGGCCGAACAGTTGGGTGGTGACCTTTAGGAAGACAAGAAAGCTATGGGAGTTTCGGGACCGACAAGCTTCAGCTTCCAAGCTGTTCCAGGGCCCCCAGAGACCCCCGGGACCGCAGGCCCTCACTGGCCACACCCCCACAGGTCATGCGCTGGGACGGCTCCATGTTTCGTCTGCTGCAGCAACTTCCCTCGCGCGGTGCCCACGTCTTCCAGCCACTGCTCATCGCCAGGGACCAGCTGGCCATCCTGGGCAGCGACTTTGCCTTCAGTCAGGTCCTCCGTCTTGAGCCTGACAAGGGGCTCCTGGAGCCGCTGCAGGAGCTGGGGCCCCCGGCCCTGGTGGCCCCCCGTGCCTTCGCCCACATCACTATGGCTGGCAGACGCTTCCTCTTTGCTGCTTGCTTTAAGGGCCCCACACAGATCTACCAGCATCACGAGATTGACCTCAGTGCCTGACACCACCAACGGAACTCTGGGCATGGCTGGGGCCCCGGGATGGCCCCTTGTCTGGCTCCTGGCCCCACTTGGGGTGATGGCCGCCTGTGAGCTGCTGACCATGGGCCACGTTCATCAGCCATACGTCTAGGCCTTAAGCCCACTTCTTAAAGGATCTGCACCCATGGGGTGACATAGAGGGTCCCAGCCTATTGGACCTCCCGAGCTGCCCTTCAGGTCTAAAGCAACATCTGGACATCTCAGCTGGGACAGATTCCCCATCAAAGGCAACCTGGAGGTGCAGGCTGGTACACTGCATGGAGTCGAGGTGGAGATCACCTGCAGAGCTCCATGAGGTCCGGAAGTCCCCTCTCAACCCGCTCCCACCCCCGCTGGTCCCTCTGAAAGCACTGAGGGGTCGACGGCATTCCTTTCCCATTCTAAACTCCATGCAGCCAATCGCTTTCCTGGAAAAGCACCAACCTCAAAGCCAGCTCAGCGCTGGGCGGGTTCCCCCTTTGCTGCTTGTGCGCATGCGTGCGGCCGCCAGGCGCGCTGTGCCTCTTGCGCGTGCGCGGGGCACAGGGCGGGACAGCGGGAGGTGTCGCGGGGAGCCCGGTGCCCTCCTGGATGGGCTACGGAGGCAAGGACAAGAAGAGTCCGAGCTCAATAAATGCGCTGTGCACCCTGCCCGCCCAGTGTTGTGGATGCTTGGGAGAGGATGTCCTGTGAACGGCACAGGGTGGGGATGGTGTCCCTGGAGCAGTGCTAAGAGCGGCCCAGGTCCCAGGGAGGCGTTTCTGCAGCTCACGGTCTCTGAGTGTGGGTTGGTGGTTATCGAGGGACTCAGGGGATGTTTGAGGGATAAAACGGCATGATGAGGGGACAAGTCACGAGTTTATTGTGGGTCTCTATTTGGGTTCATGTCTCAGGACATTGAGGGAGATATTTTTGGGTGTTTTGAGTTTTAGGCATTTTGCGGGGTAGTTCACGGGAACATTTTGGATGCCTTATTAAGTATTGGGGAGGCTCAAGGGAGTTTGAGGCTTGTTGGAAATTCTCACACTATGTGGTCACTGTATGTCATTAAGGGTAGCACAGGGAATTATTTAACGGGCTTGCAGGGACATTTGGGTATTTGGAAAGATCTTGGAATAAATTGAGGTCTTGGGGGTGAATGAAAGGGTCACAGGAGTCTCACTGTTATAAACTGTCTGAACACTTCCATCACGGTAGGGCGATCCTATGTTCCAGTTTTCCTGGGATGGTCCAGGGTCCACTGGAATGTTCCAGTGTTCCATCTGGTTAGAGCTCTCTCATTCCTTTGGCTACTAGTAAATCCCAAATTGCATATGAGGTTCCCATGGCTGAGGAGGCAGAGGGCGGGCCTGTGCCATGCCCCAAGCCACAAGGGAACAGGCCTGTGGGCTTTTCCCAACAAGCAGGCTCAGCGCCAGCCTCTGTGTCAGCCTCCAGGACACGCCGACCTTCTCATGGTGCCCCAAGCCCCACCCCAGTGTACACATAGGAAGTCTCCAGGCTGCTTGGGCAGAGGCACAATCATTTTAGATTAAAAAAAAAAACTGAACAAAGAGACCCTCCTGCGAGAGGTGAGATGAGGCCCTGCAGTGCAAGGGAGTCCCAGCAGAGGAGGGAGAATTCCATCGTGGAGTTCAAGCTTCTGTGCAGACAGGACCTGGGGACAGAGAACGGTCCTCCACCCAATTTCAGCTGGTCTGTCTTCATCAGTTATGGGCTGAGCCTGGGGGAGGTGACGGGGTCCGTTTGTGAGGGTGGATTGAGTTTTCTTTCCAGTGAGCATGCGCATGCGCGCGCGCGCGGACACACACACACACACACACACACACACACACACACACCCACTTCCGTGTTCCCCTCAGCCCCATGCTGCCCCATCTTTACCTGGGGTGATGAGAGGTGGAGTCTCCCCTGGATGGTGACTAAGGAGACAAAAGTGGTGAGATCCGTGTCCACCCCCATTTGCCCTCTCCCTCCGGGTAGAGGGTTCTTAGCCTGCCCAGACATGTCTTCCTGGCTGCTTTTCCACTTGGGGGGTTGTGCAATTCCAGGGGCCAAAGCATTTCGGGATTTGAGGCCCTCTGGGGATTACCAGCTAGAAACCATGAACCTGGAAATCTTAGCGGCAGGAAGTCTGCAGGGCAGAGCCCGGAGGCCTCATTGCTGGGACAGTTAGCCCTTTCACCCTGAAAAGCATCCAGCCAGCCTGAGGCGGGCATGCCGGAACAGTATCTTACCTGGGCTTCTGGCCGAACTTACATTTGCATTTCCCACCTGTTGGGGAGAGCTGAGTGGTCAGGGGAGGGGAGCCCCAGCCCCGGCCTGCCTGCTCTCCCCAGCTCCTTCACTCACTCATGACAATGATGATGCCCATGGCGCACAGAACCCCAGCGCAGATGAGCCCGCCAACCTGGAGGCTGTGCCAGTCTAGGAGGAAAGTGGAGGGGACCTCAGTGCCAGGCTATGTCCCCTCCATCCGTCCCCCCATCCTCTTGACAAATACATATGGAACATCTAGGATGTGCAGGGTGCCGGGGACACCCCCGTAAGAAAACAGACAAAATCCCAAGTGCTCACATTCTAGTTCACACACCAGCAAACAAGATCTGTCATGCAGGGTCAGGCAGAGATAAGTGGTCTGAAGAAAAATAAGCAGGGTGGGAGATGGAAAGTCAGAGGGCAGGCTGGGCACAGTGGCTGACACCTATTAGGTTGGTGCAAAAGTAATTACGTTTTTGGCTAGGCACAGTGGCTCACGCCTGATATCCCAGAACTTTGGGAGGCTGAGGTGGGCAGATCACGTGAGATCAAGAGTTCCAGACCAGCCTGGCCAACATGGTGAAACCCGGTCTCCACTAAAAATACAAAAATTAGCCAGGCGTGGTGGCAGGCGCCCGTAATCTCAGTTACTCAGCAGGCTGAGGCAGGAGAATCATTTGAACCCGGGAGGCGGAGGTTGCAGTGAGCCAAGACTGCCAAGATTACGCCATTGCACTCCAGCCAGTCACACTCTGGGTGAAAGAGCAAAATTCTGCCTCAAAAAAAAAAAAAAAAAAATGCTTTTTTGCCATGAAAAGCGGTTGCAAAAACCACAATTACTTTTGAACCAACCTAATATAATCCCAGAGCTTTGAGACTTCAGGAGTTTAGGAGTTCTAGACCAGCCTGAGCAACATAGTGAGACCCCATCTCTACAAAGTATACAAAAATTAGCCAGATATGGTGGTGCATGACTGCAGTCCCAGCTATTCAGGAGGCTGAGGCAGGAGGATCGCTTGAACCCAGGAATTTGAGGCTGCAGTGAGCTATGATTACGCCACAGCACTCCAGTGTGGGCAACAGTGTGAGACCTGTTTCTAAAAAACAAGTCAGAGGGCAGCTCTTTTAGAGGGAGTTGTCAGGGAAGGCCTCTTAGGGGGCTGCATTTGAGCAGAGGGAAGGGAGGGAGCCATTTGGTTCTATGGAAGGAGGTGTTCCAGGCAGAGGAACCAGCAAGTGCAGAGGTCTGAGGCTGGCAGTATGTCTGCAGTGTCTGAGAGGCTTGGAGCAGAAGGAGTGAGGAGCGTGGAGGAGGTGAGGGCAGAGCGGGGAGTAGGGAGCAGGTCATCGGAACCTGGAGGCCAGATGAGGGTTTTGACCGAACAGCTCACTGCCTCCAGGAAGTCTTCTCAAGTCAACACTTCTCCCAGCAGTTGATTTGAACCAAACAATGGCTTCCTGCAAACTGTCCTCACTTCCTGCGTGTGTCTAACTATCTTGCTGGAATAGAACCTTCCCAAAGGCTAGGTTGCTGCCTCTAGTTCCTTTAATCCACCGTGTGGACTCTTCGGTGCCCCCATCTTAGTCCCTTCCTATCTTTGTCCTGTGACGCTCACATCAGACCCTCACCCAATCCTGTGTGGGAACCCTTGGCACCAAGCAGTATGTGGGGTTAGGGGGAAGGGAATGGGGGCACAGGCTCTCACCATAGTAGAAAGGACTGTTTTTATCTGCAAGGAAAGAAAAAACATCATGAATCCAGGATTACAGCCAGGATGCAGGCCCCGCTCCCACACAGGGGAGAATTTGGGGGTGGGAAAGGTGAAAGAGTCCAGTCTGACTCACCTTCTGGGTCATTGGCATCCAGGACAGGCAAGCCTGGTGGGAGAAGAGGGGAAGGAGGGGAGATGGTGATGCTGGCCTCAGCCAAGCCCTTGGGCAGGGCCCATGGAGTTTTAGGGGCCTTGGGAAAGGGTCCCCTGAGGGACAGGGGTCCTGTCACCGAGCAGCCGCCTCATCCCCTCATATCCCATCATGGAAATGTGAACTCGCCCACTCAGCCCCACACCTCCGAGTCACGCCAGCATTCTACTACCTGAAATTGGTTCTAATCTAGGAGGGTTTTGGCCACTGTTTGGTCTCGTGTTTCAGACACGTGGTTAATCCATGCCTTCTGCAGCAGCAAGGGACTTTTCTGGTCAAGACGACAGATGGTTTCAGTTCCCAGATTCCTGTTTCCCCAAGTCCCATCATGCTCAAAGCCCATCCTCCCACTTCCACCATGTCCACACCCACCTGGTCTGGTGTTTGCACATCATTGAAAATGACTATTATAGACTTAAATAGACTTTATTGAAAATGTAATTTTAGATCACTACCCTGCAGGGAATACTAGTCTTGCCCTGTGTAATAGATAAAAAGTGTGCCTATAATCCCAGAGCTTTGGGAGGCAGACGTGGAAGGATTCCTTGAGCCTGGGAGGTCAAGGCTGCAGCGAAAAAGTAAAATGGGGACTGGGCGCAGTGGCTTAGGCCTGTAATCTCAACACTTTGGGAGGCCGAGGCAGGAGGATCACTTGAGGTCAGGAGTTCGAGACCAGCCTGGCCAATATGGTGAAACCTTGTCTCTTCTAAAAATATAAAAGTTAGCCAGGCATGGTGGCACATGCCTGTAATCCCAACTACTTGGGAGGCTGAGGCAGGAGAATCACTTGAAACTGGGAGGTGGAGGTTGCAGTAAGCTGAGTTCATGCCACTGTACTCAGCCTGGGCAACAGAGCGAGACTCTGTCTCAAAAAAAAAAAAAAAAAAAAAAAAGAAAAAAGAAAGAAAGAAAAAAGGGGAAAAGTGTTTGGAAGTTAAAGATGCAGTCGCACCGAGCCGAGCCTTCTACTTGAAGTTTTTAGAAAATTTACAAGAGAATTGGCTGGGCAGTTATCTTTTTTCAGTGCTTTGAAGGTGTAATTTCATTGTATTCTAGCTTCCGTTATTTATGTTTAATAGTCAATCAAGGCCAGTGCAGTGTGGCTCGTGCCTGTAATCCCAGCACTTTGGAAGGCTGAGGTGGGAGGATCAAACTCAGCCAGGAGTTTGAGATCAGCTTGGGCAAAACAGTGAGACCTTGTCTCTGCAAAATATTTTAAAATGAGCTGGGCTTGGTGGTGTGTGACTAGAGTTCTAGCTGTGTAAGGCTAAGAGAGTAGAATTGCTTAACCCCAGGAGTTCAAGGCTGCAGTGAGCTGTGATTGCACCATTGCACTCCAGCCTGAGTGACAGAGACTCCCTTTCAAAAAAAAAAAGAAAGAAAGAGCGAGAGAATGGGGAAGATGGTGACTTTCCAGCTGTACGAGCCAGCTCTTGTTGTGTATCCCTGGCAATCACTAGTTTGACTTTAC